GCCTGGTCCGGTCTACGGCTACCGGCCAGGAAATGTGACCTAGGCATAAGGGTCTATAAAGCAAGTACCTTTTACATTGTACTGGCCAAAAAATGCACCAGGCCCCGGGATCATGAAACAGACTTAGACTTAAGTCAAAATTTCAATTATCTATAAAATCTTTATATCTTGTTAAAGGGAACTCATAATTTGCATACTATAGCAGACTGATGATACAAAATCGGAAGGCATTTTCATTTTGGGCTGCTTGACCTCTAAAAAAATTCAGCATCTAAGGTATTTTTTGACTTTAGCTTAAGATGCTTCATGATCCCGGGGCCAGGAGTACATATGTGTACATATGCAAGAAATTTGCACCAGGTTTGAAAAGATGCAAATTTACAACCGGCCGCATATTTGCACAAATGTTAATTTATTTTCGCATTTATGCAATTGTGTTAATATGAAAAATTCACAACCGGGGGGTTAATCAGCGCATGCGAATGGAACTTGTAAATGGTAACAGAGTTTCCGAAGTTAAATAGGCAAAAGTAAAGTACAATGAATATAAAGTAAATTTCTAATATGTAAAAAGATTGATTGATTGATTGTCCCTCTCCAGAATATTTCACTGATATGGAGACGTCACAATTGCCGGTGAAGGGCTGCAAATTTAGGCCTATGCTCGGCACTCAGGGCCTTTGAGCAGGGAGGGATCTTTATTGTGCCACACCTCCTGTGACACAAAGCCTCTGTTTATGCGGTTTCACCCGAAGGACCGCCCCATTTAGTCGCCTTTTACGACAAGCAAGGGGGTACTGAGGACCTATTCTAGCCCGGATCCCTACGGGACAATATGTAAAAAGAAAATGTCAATGAAAACTCATGGAACATAAATAAAAAATGTATAACACAGTAAGTAACAAAATAAGTAGAAAACGCACATTTATTGAATATTAAAAAAAAATGAGTGTGTACAATGTATCTTATAATTATTCATATCTGTTCCTAAATCAACTACATGATATTCATATATTTCGTCATGCTATAAGCCATTATAATTTATTGCCAGTTGAAACTGAAAGATATATTTATGGAAAAGTTCTGTTTGCAGTAGATCAATTATGTTCCCTGCGCTTGTGCTGGATCTCATTTAGTCATCTAGGATGTATGTAAATATAAAACACATCTTGTTGTTATGAGAGGTATTCCTTATAAAATAGGTCCTTAATATATAATTTTCCTTATCGTCACTGATGCCGGCTATTTTTGTTTTTTAAGGATAAATAACACAAACAAACTTTTTTTTCAGAAATCAGCATTATTTCTCATAGATTTACATTTAAATTGGTAAGCTGAATAATGTTTACCAAGTAGAATGGGAGATTTATTTAAGATTTTGTCATAAAGTTAAAAAAATGTGCCAAATTTTGTATGGAATTATATAGAAAGCAAAATAAAATCTCATATCTAAATACCAAGGAAAACCTACCATTTCTTTATAATTCAGGGATTTATTATTTATGTCATTTCAAATCTGAATCAGTCATAAAATATATGTCAACCCGTGCATCCATTTTTTGTTTGTGGTACTGTATAGGGGTATAATTTCACGGGTTGTAATTTTCACGTTTTCTCCTCATCTGACACGATCGCGGTTTCTTGAATTCGCGGAAATGGTACATGTATATAATAAAAGTAATATCCCTTGTCTTTATTCCAAAAACAACAAGGTCTAGGTTTATATAAATAATTAGATTTAATAAATAATTGACGATTAATTAAAACAAGAGCAAGATCAAAAGTCTTGACTATAAATGTCAAATGACTTTCCTGCATGTCGACAAAACACTATCCTTCCACATCTTCAGTAAGTTCCATATAATTATTTGAAGGAATTTTTAAATTTAAACCAAAAATGTCGATAACAACTAATATGCATGATAATGCAGGTAACAAATACACGTGTTAACATTAGTTACGCACGGGTAATTAAAACCCCTGGCCGGCGTGTTTTGATTGATGAAACATCCAGCATTGGCTATTAAACAGCTTTTTAACAAAAACAGGTTATTATCTGCCTGTTTGAATTAAAGCAAAGCGTGATAAATAAAATAACTGAATGACAAGTACTACTCGTAATTACTGAAATGATTATGTACTGCACGAACATGTATAGAAGTCTATGTTATCGTAGTTTGTTCTCTAATTTCCAAATAAATCATGGATATTATTGAAAATTTATTCACTTTTTCTTGAATTCACGGATTTAATAACACCGTGAATACAGCGAATATTAACACCGCGAGTTATTTTCCCCCTATACAGTAAGTACCCTTAACTGTAAAATTAGTAAACTAAAAAATGTATCGAACAGTGTAATTTTACAAATCATCGAACCTTAGAATAATAATCTACTTTCGTAGTTATTCAATGCACTTTTCTTATTTTTATTTTCTTTATGATTCTACCAGCTTAGTTTAATCAGTTCAATCATCATCAATTATATTTTGTAATCTTGCGGTCTACCAAGACATGTTATATAAAATCGATTATAAGGTGATTCCTCAAACTTTTCTGTCTTGATAAAACAATGATTTTCATCTTCGATTTTAAGGGACTCAATCTTCAAATACTTAAAACATAAAAAAATAAGAAAAATCTTTACAATTTTAGGAATCACATTCACATGTAAATTATTGAAATTCTAGGAAATATGCAACCGATTGTGATGACCTTAAAACTATACATATGTGCGGTAGATCATACACGTCAATATGATATAAATCCATGTTATATAATTTCATTACATATAGTCCTTATTACAAATGATGCACACTGTATATAAAAAGCAGAGTTGGATTTCTCTTTGGAATAGACAAATAAACATGTACATCGATATCTTTTTTACCCTGAATGCACATCACATGTAATGATAATGCAGATTTAACATATTTTTAGGTTTTAAATGCGGTGGAAGAACTAGAAAAAGTGAATTTCTGCAAGACTTTCATCTTCTTTTTCTTTTTCTTTGTATGAAGATTATCTTCGTCTTCTTTCCCGCTGCTTCCGAGCCGCCTTTGATTTCGCAACTCTTTCCTTTTCTATATAAGCATTGAATTTACACTTCACTTAAATTTATGTACATGTACTAAAATATATGACTGATTTTAATTACAATTGCATTTATTTTTATCAATTTCAATACAATTCTGATACGTACATTTACAATACATACCTTTTTTTCCTGCTCTGTGATTAATTTGACAGGATCTTTCACAATATCATAATTATGACGAACACTTTCGAGAATTTCTGTAACATGGCTGTTGCCCCAGTCTTTCTCTTCTGCAATATGATTAACTAATTCATTTAGCTGTCCAACTTTTTTGCAAAGACTGTTTGTATAAAATGATATGTTTTCAAAACGATCACTAAATTCCTCGTTTTGTATCTGATGCTTTTTTATGAACCGTTCAATTTCTTTAACAGTGTCATATATTTCGTTGGAGTACATAAGTTTAAAAGTTATGTATTCGGTTTCCTTTTTACGATGTTCAAGACTTTCATTATGTTCTGTAATGTTTTCCAGATGTCTTGGCTCTTTTGAGAAATCACGTCGAAGTAAAAGTTCAAATGGATCATCAAGTTTTTCTGCATTTGAAGATGACGGAAACACGTGAAACGAATCACACACATCGTTTTCTTCATTAAACGTTGTATCAGTCGTTGTTCTTTCATGAATTTGTTTCTCATCTGAATACGATAAAATAGTCGCAGAATCTTTTATTTCTGTATCATCTGTAGGCCTATAGAGAGGACATCCACATACTTTGCATTCATTAATGTTGTCATCTGAACATTCTAGCAATGAATCTATTTCTGTCATCTTTTTCTTCAAAAGTTTATTTTTTAACAATTGACTGATTTGAGGGGCTCTTTTTTGTAGCAACACGTAACGAAAATATTTTACGATAGTTTTTGCACTCTCTTCTTCAGCATCTATAGGATTTTCTTTTGAAATGCTCTGTTTTATGTCAACTTTAGACTCCCTTTCATATAAAACCGTCTCCTGTGTGTTTTCTTCTGAAATACTCAAATGTTCACTTTCTAGACTTTCTATCCTTAATTTTTTTGTACAAGGCAATGTCTTTAAAGCATCCGCTTTCTGTTTTGTTCTTAATATGCTCTCTGATCTTCTTATCTTTGCCTCTGTATTAAATGATAAAAAGTCTTTTTGTTCACATTTTTCCTTATTACAAATAGATATTTGAAAGTTGCCAGAACACCATGTGTGCTCTTGCAGTTCATCAATACAATCTTGATAAACAATAAAAGACAAAGCCTCTTTGAAATTATGTGGCCCTGTGAACTGAATATTTTGTAAACATTCAATTAATGTTTTCTTCTTTTTAAAGAGAAATCCCATGCTCTTATTCAAAAAGTATATTTTGCAAGCCAGCATCTCTTCGATTTCCGCTGCAGAATGAAACTCATTTCTTACATTGCAAAACAAAAGCAAACACAACTTCAACAACCTCTCTAAAAGTGCGTGCTTTGGATTGTTTTTTGTTTGGTTCCCTTCTAGTTTTAAATATGAAACTGGTCTGTCAGTTAGTCTTTCTAACAATTGCACGATACATTCTGGTGATTTCAGAAGATCGCTGCCATATTTCTGTAGATATTTCTTTTTGCACAAATCTTGAATTAGAGTGTCTTTATTTTGGAATGTCATATAAATGGACACGGCATTCAAATGGTATGACTTGGGAAGAATAAATTGACATTCATTAGACTTCAAAATGCCAATATAGGCTGCTGTTGAAAAAAGTGCAAGACAACTAAAAAATTCCAGCCAGTACATAAGATGAGAAGAATTTGAAAGGGGGCTCATATCTTGTTGACAAAGCAAATGACAAAATTTGGAAAATTCTAATAGAGCCTCGATAGGCTTCCCGGACTTTAAAAGCTTTTGACTAGAGGTCATATATCGACAAAGTGATGAAATTTTCACTCCATGTTCTAGATCGTCACTTATTTCAAAGCCATGAGATATCCTCAAATTTGGAGATTCACAACCTGTTTCATGCAAATAAGCCTCTTCCATCTCAAGCAGAATTGTATCAGGATCTTCGCCTGTACGAACATCAAATACATCTCTGATGAACAAGAAACTTACAAAATAAATAATATGATTGTGTTTTACGTCGAATTTCATATCCTCAGCCATGCTATCTACAAATGACTTCATAGCTTGTCGAAAGTAGCCTTTTTGAATCTTTCGAATATATTTTAGCACTTTCAAAATTCCTCCAGGTTTGAAATTCGACATACTGACTATGCCATCATCTGGAAACAAATCTAGCATGATATCTTTACATCTGTCAAATGTCGAGACGTCAAGACTTTTTAAACTCAAGCTGAAGCCGCTACTTCTTCTTTTAAAGTTTTTGGAACCTGTTCTTACATGGGCCTCAAGTTCAACTAAAAGTATATCCATTTGTATCAAATCCAAGAAGAGATCTGAATCGGTTGGACTTGAATCGATAAATTCTGACAGAAGGTAACCTTTTTCTTTCATTAGAATATCTTCCAATATCTGCATCCATTCTTCTCCCTGCTGAATGAGATAGTAGCAAATATCGTTCTTAGCAGTTTTTAATTCTACTTTACATAAGTGATCTTTAGATTTTTCAATCTTTGGTGAAATCTTTAGCGCCATAGGTTTTTGTGACGGATAAACAGTAAGATTACTGTTTCCATAGGTCGTATGATAGCCAAAGTACTCCAAAACATCCGCCATTCGCTGTCTTTCACTTTCATTTATTGGATAAATTAAAATAGACAATGCCTTGAAAAGAGTTTCCATACCTAATATGCACTTAACTTGATTTCCTTTATCCCTTAGGTCTGAGTGATTTATCATCCAATCCATACATTCTTGTTGTCCTGCTATATTTGGATTAGGCCTGCAATGATTAAACTCTCCATATGCTTTCTGCACATATTCTTGATCCTTTGAAATTTTGCCAATTAACAAAGCCACTTTTCCAGCTAAAACTTTATCTTTTGAATCATGCATAGCGTGAAAAACCCCGATTAGCTTCTTACATATTTCGTTTTGTATGTTTCCAAGGTATATTCCTTCACAATATAGAGATTTACAATCCTCAAAAAGGCATCTGTTTCTCAATTCTCCGTCCCCAATGTTCTCTGCATATTTTAGGGCATTCTCCGTTTGACCACATTTTAGATAAAAGTCAATGAGAAGCCGTTCATGTCCTGAAATATACAGGGTAAAATGACATACATGTGCAAATTCTACTTGAGAGGAAAATAGTACGAGAGTTTATATTTATTTAAAATTTGGCAATATTGAAAATTTCAGATGAGAATTTAAATGATGATTGTTTTTAAAATAATGAAAAAATAGAGTTAACTATTAAACACTTCATTTGGAATTGTAAGTTTAAAGATTCGGAATCTATATTTATTCGTCCAATATAAATCCAATTTCAAAAAATAATACTCATTGTAAGGTAAGAAAAAAAATTAATAGGCAAGTTAAATTACCATCGCAGTACAGTTAAGGTGCGCTATGGAAATATCGACTGAATTCTGTATTTAAAAATGTATTCGTTATCAGGATGGCGATTAATTTTAGTACATTATTTATATAGGATAATTGTAATTATGATTAATAACTACATATCGAGGACAATTATATTTTATATTATGTCTAGTCACGTGATGCGGCAGTCACACGATTTTAGCACATTGACTTGCAGTATTGATGTTACATATAAATATCACTAGTGCAAGGGCATAACCAATTTAAATTTCCAAGTTAAGTATATAGATATTTTCAACACGCATTGTAGTTTCTAAAAAGTGCTGCGATCCTGCAGTTTCATTGTTAAAATTATATTTGTATGACCGAATGCCATATTTTTTGCTAGTCAGCGGCATGAAATATTGATATAACTAGAGCTGAGCTCGTTGCAAATTAACGAGTAGGTCTTCCGTCGAAGCTGCGGACAGGGAGAAGAGACCTTGAGTCAAGGTCATGCCACGTTCTAATGTTAACGCAATCTTTTAAGGGTAGATATCATCACATTATGTTTTACTTTCTAATAAATGGATAGCGAAGGAATTTTTGCGATCTTGACCTTGTCAAAATGACCTTGGGTCACACCATGACACATGCTGGTGATGAGAATATCCCATTTGTGTGCTACTACCGTATTGACACATTCACACATGTTCTTTCAAACAATGCATCCAGCCAGAACATCTTATCCTAAATGACTTTTATTAAAGGCCATGACACAGTCAGCATGATATAAGCTATACCCTTTTTTTGATTGACCTTGTCAAAGCTAACATGTGTAAAACCAGATATGAAAGCGCTACTCTTTCTCTATAAAAAGTTAAGGTCAATTTTTTATGTTATTTTTAAATTTTGGAAAAGCCGGTTAAACTTCAAGTTCAAAATTCATTATCTACTAGTACGTACAGTCATGTGATTTTTGTGTAATATGAAAGTCCTATCTCTTCTCATTCAAAAGTTATGATCAAGGTTAAAGTTGTGAAAAGTAAGCCAAGCTTCAAGGTCACGTTGTCAAAAGTCAGTGTATTTAGAAAAGTGTTGTCTCAGGTAATACACAGGGGTAAAATAAAAGCTCTATCTCTTCTCATTCAAAACGTATGACAATTGTTAATGTTTTTTGAAAAGCAGGTCAAACGTCAAGGTCAAATGGTCAATAATCACAGAGAATATTGAAAGGTGTTGTAACAGGTAATGCAAGTTTATAAAATGGAAGCTTTCAAAGTTATGGTCAATTTGAAGTTATTTTATTTTTGGGTTAGGTCAAGCTCCAAGATCAAGGTCACAGGGTCAAAAATCACAGTATATTTGAAAATCACATGTCACAAATAATGCACATGTGAAATATGAAAGTCCTATAATTATTTCAACTCATTGAGTAATTATTATCAAGTTTAAAGATCTCGTGACAGATGGACAGACTGGCTGATCATTAAGGCTAAATTACCCTAAAAAATAAATACATGAAATTGAAAATGAGAAATTGAGAAATACGAATAATCAAGAAAAATGTAGAATATATTAGAATATAAATGAAATTTCCTTCATGAGATTTCTTTGAAGACATATTAATACATATTATTCAAGTACATGCATTATATGTACGTTGGGGATTCAAGACGCGGACACGTATCACATATCTGTTTCGTTACGAGGTAGGTGGTGTAGTAAAAGGATTAAATTCGCCTGATTCCACCTCTGATTTGTTTTAAGTCTGTCTTTGCGCTGCTATTGATTTGTATTGTTTAAACTGTCTTTTGGGCTGAAATATTGTTCATTTTCTGGGTATTTCTGCGTGTGCTCAAAGGCCGTCAGAACTACGTGCATCGTACATGTTTGAAATTAAATGTCCAGCCTTTCACTTTCACATAAATTTAGCTATATTGTCAGGCAAGAGAGCTATAGTGCCATCCATTAAAAAGTGTATATGTTAATTGTGCACCCTCCACCCCCCCCCCCCCAAAAAAAAAAAAATGCGCTGAAGCTATATATTTCAATATCCGTGTTTTTCAACTGCAGCAATCTAAAAATATTACTTACCGTATGTCTCTAGCACATTCCTTCAATTTTTCTACAGCAAAACATTCCTTACAACCTTTTTTATTAGTCCTCCTGAGCCTGAATTTAAGATATCGAAAATATCGTATAATTGTTTTTCCATTTTGGGTGGCAAAATAATTCGGCCCAACGAGCTTCTTGCAGATGTCAAGTACTAGTACTTGATAGAAGTCTCTAGAACATTTTGAAATCCATCTTAAAATTGTGCAGTTGAGGTAAGAATTCTGAGGAATTATTCCAGAACCAAGCGCAATTTTTTGTACGCATTAATATATACTTTTAATATGGGTGGCACTGTAGCTCTCTGGTGATCCATCCCAGGTTTTTTTTTCAGATAGCGAGCTACAGATCTGCAGCTACATGTTGTCTTTCACCAAATATATTCTATAAAAATTATTACTCCATCTTGTTTGTAACTTTAAATCGCTAGAAATATATTGTAAAAATCCAGAATGAAAATGATGAATGTTAGAAATGATTTTATTAATTGTTGGAAATGCAATGCAAAATTCCGGAAATCAAATGCATCGGAAACTGGTACCTCCCCTCACCCAAAGAAACTAGTATACATGTAGTACATGTACACACTTCGATTCTCGATTGTACACTCTAATCGGCACACAGAAATTAAAAAGTTTATTAAAAGGAAAGTTTAATGACGCAGACTAATCTTTGCCAACCTTGTTTTTTTTTCATATATTTGAAGACCTGCACGTAGCATCGTTTTTGAAAGGGGAGGGTCAAAAATAGAAAAAAATTATACTAACCTGTAAAAATTTGACAAGCCAAAAATAAAAAAAAGGAAATTGCCCACACTCGAAAAGCCTATTTCGTTGTGTGTGTGTTTGTGGGGGGTGGGGGGGGGGTAGTGGCCAAGTTTTTTCACTTCCAATTTTCTTTGCATACACCACTACATTTCCTTAATATCACTATACTGTGGTAAGAGTTGTGGGGGACAACCAACCTTTCAATGTACATCAATAGTAAAAGTAATGTTGAGGATAAAAGTGGGGGGGGGGGCATGCCCCTGGCTCCCCCTCTGTTGCTACGTGCCTGAATTGGCATTCTCCAATCTGAAGGAAATAATTGTATCATTTCAGGGAAGGGGGAGGGTTCCGTGTCGCGATGAGAGGAAATTTAATAATCGATCTCTTTTAGTCCAATTTTCACGAAAGAATGGCTTGGAACATTTGTATGCAACTACACAGCTTTCTCAGAAGCAATTTTGCGTTTTGTTAAAAATTCCTAATTATTCATTTTTTTTCTCTCGTATTCTGAAAACTCGGAATGTATATTTTTGGGCGCTCTTCCGTGTAAAACAGCATGCTACATGTACAATCACGCACCCGTAAAATCGTGTCATTGTGGTAAAATCGTGTCAATGTGATATTCTTTTAATTATAAACCTTGTAGCACACACTGCAAAACTCAAAGTTGCCATTACCGGCCGCCAGGAGGCGGTCGGTGTTTTAAGTCGTCGCGCGTTTCTGCGGAGTTTGAACAATTTGAATAAAAATATTTAATGACATTCATATTATAGAATATTGAAGAAAGATATTCTAAATGTTTACAAAAAGCACAATAATCATAAAATAAAAATTTTATAAATAATTGGGTAAATATTTTATCCAATCCTGATTGACAAACTCTGACAATACTGAAGTGCGGAGAAAATTAGCACGAAGTGTCTTATGAAGGCATAGTCTAAAACAAAGACCACATTGTATATCAACAATATTTTACTTTCTCTTTTTAAACAGCCTATGCAGGATTTGTTGTACTTATTTTAAAATGCCGTGTATATTTATACATTTCCTATGGAAATTTTTCAAAACTTTGATGAAATATTGATTTCTTAAAAGCACAGAATCGTACGACAATTTTTTCCATGAGACTAGGATATAGCGCGTTTTTACAATGTGCCAAGCATTTTCCCGCCACATCTCAACACCAAAACAAAGAGACTGAAAGAAGAAATGTAGTGGTGGATCTAGATGGATTTGAGGGGTTGTTAACATCCTCTAAGAGAGTCCCACATATTTCATATTTGTTCCGTTTAAATTAAAGTAAAACTATAGCTAAGTTTAAACTTTAGTTTTGTACATTTATGTAATAATTACATCAAACTTCCACCAGAGTTCGTTTGTACGGACGCAGAGGTCTATGGGCAGTTTGCTTACACATAGTTATTATAATATTGTACATGTATTACGCATGAAGAAAATCGGCAATGTCGCATGCAAGTATTTCATGTTACGAGGATATTTTAAAAGATAAATATAAGAAATTTTAAAAACAGATCACGCAAATTTCAGTTTCGAATTATATATACTTTATCAAAGGAAGAATTAATTTGTTTGCGGCCGATTTCTGACGCTTGCGTCAATATGTTTCTTGTGTTTACATTTGTATTTGCTAATTTAAACAACATTGCAATTTTTTCTGATATAAAAGAATTAGAATAACTTGATATAGGCTCGTATACATGTAACGATTGCAATTACTTCAAAGTGCAGAGGGAAACGGGGCCTAGAAAAATTCTCGAACTACATGTGTACCTTTCCAATAATAGAATCATCCGTGTCATAGAAACAAGAGTGTCCGAGAAAATCGCCAAATCGTAGCACCGTTTATTTATTCCTCAAAGAATAGAATCCGACATTTAACATTTTAATTCTTTGAATACACATACATGTTAAAGAAAATCTTTATGTTTGAGTCTAGAATTATTCTTACGATTTACGCAAATAACATATTTTCTTGATTTTAATCTGAGTAAACCGATGACCTAGCATCGTTTAGAGAACTCTAGGACTCTAGTAACAAGAATAGATATGGTTTACCCCATATCCAAAGATATTCGACTTTTAGATTTAATATGTTTAAGAGTGTTTAATGACTTTTATGAAAATAAAACTGCACTGTCTAGTTATAGAACTTGTGTAAATTTCGTGATTGCGGTCACCCAGTCTCCAGCATTACGGTCACCCAGTCTCATAACAAACAGTTCACATACCTGTGTCCGTAATACCACTTAGCCTTGGTCTGCACACGTGCGATGGAGTTGTCAAACGGACTCCCGCGAACAGAGAAGTTACAATGGCAGACAGAACTTTTTTTTCATAATTAGATCACATGAATACAAAATTTAATTCAGCTGCATGATTAATAAAAATTAAACGATTGTCAGTTTTTAAAAAATCAAAGAGCGGTAATGTTGACCTCCCGAAATCGGAATGTATATTAGGTCAATGCGCGATCGATAAACGGGTTACACGTTACATAAACACTGTAAACACAACAGTCAGGATCCGAGGAAAATTCACGATGCATAAATTTAAATTTAATGACAGTGAACTATTTTAAGCTTGATTTTTTTAAAAATAATTCCATATTGAATATTATCGAAGGAAAGATGATAGGTATTTTTCCTCTCTCCCGGCTTGTTGTTTAAGCTAAATACAAGGAGAAATTAAAGTTTTCTCTGAATAATCTGTATGACATCCAGCTAGAGAATACGTTAAAACTTATATCAACAAAGTTTAACATTCAGTTTAGTTAGGTATATCATTCTAATCCAGTTTATATCAGTTATGCGTGTTATACGCGTACGCATAAAGAATTCTTCACTTGCCATATAAAATCAGTTACCTGTACATGGATTATGAAGTTTGCTGCTCATTTGATAACACCTGACGAACAAAATAACGTTTTCATGAGATCAATAAGATGTTAAAGAACCCATTTCAAATCGATAACCATATCGAAATATTTACAGTTTTTGAGTTATAAAGCAAAAACTTTCAAGCGCCCTAGACCCCTAATTTGAGGGGCCAGCCCCTTTTTAATGATGTCAAATGATAGATCTTAAAATTATGCACAATATTTGTTCATCATGTCTTAACAAATTATTTTTAGTTTAAAAGATACATCAGGAAATATATGTAAATTTTTACGCTTTTAGGCATTCTCATTTTTGACCCCTATCTAGCACCGTCTTGAGAGCAGAAATCGAAAAAGAAAAACCGATGTGCACAACTTCAATTCTTCTAGTATTTAAATGCAGTCGAATTTCTGCTCCAGCTTTTGTCGTTTCTGAGCCTTTGTCTGGAAATGAACAGTACCAAATTTTCATTTAAAGGGAAATAACTCGAAAGCGGAAGGGTATTTTTGAAATTTATGAAAAAATTTTAATAAAGTTTTGTAACGTTCAAAAACGCTGAAAATTTGAGCGAAATGTGTTGAGAAATGAGCGAGTTACGAGGTCTCAAAGTTGGCGTCTAGGAAAAAAAAAAAAAAAGAATAATAGGGAATAATCTTAACCATCAGAATCAGTAGAAGGTCTTCCGTTGGAAACGGAAGACCTTAATTAAATTGTTTTCAAGATTTCATTAGGATCCCAGCACTTTTCATATATCTTAATAGTTCAAGAGTTGAAATGTAAAAGCTTACTTTGATCCATAGAGTGTATGCCCTTGCACAAAATCGATTTATAAAGACCAACCACGTTACCCTCCGATGTACTTGAGTACAAATATACGGCAGTGTCAATTAAATACGTAATGTACAGAAAATATATTAATGAAATAGTGAAGAAGACATTAAATTCAAGTTATTGTCCCATAGAATATCTGTAAAAAATATTTTATTTGATTAGAGAATACACATTTTGTTGAGAAAATATTACTTGATCTGTCTCTCACTACATACAAACTACGTCACGTTGTAAGAAATGACGTCATATTAACAAGTGTATTGCGATCAGTGACTTGTTTATAACTTGTTATGTTCAGTTGAATATGATAAAGATAAATGTTATGCCTGCATATGTATAGTCCGTAGCCCACTTGGGTCTCTGTAATACATGTTATAGTAAGAGTGAAATTAATCTTTTAAACCGCTTGACAGAAATGGACAGAAATTTCAGACAAATTGCCAAAGGGATGTAGTGTTACATAGAACATACTTAAAATACTATTTATTTGACTTTATTTTTTGATCAATCTGCAACCAACATGGGCACCTGATCTCGGCCAAGCCGACAAGCAAGCAGTGACCTATTTTATGTGTCGTGAATTATTTATTTAGCACTTCATTAACCTATATTCGGACGAACAAAGTGAGGAAGAATATAAGTAAGCAACTTATTAATAAACTGAGAAATAGTCTTTTTTTTCTCGTAGACAAATTGAGATTCTAAATGATCGTAAGCCATTTTTTTCCGTATTCTTTAAATCGAAACATAACGCAGAGTGAAGGTGGGGCCTATTTGTACGATTTTACATGTAACATGAAAAAAGTTTGGTTGTACGTGAGTTGAAATGCTTTTCTTAAGAGCACAATAAAAAAAAAATATTGATTGATTGATAAACATGTTTTCTCATTTACGGCTCGCTCAATTTTCACTCATACAGAGACGTATTTCGAGTAACCTTTGAACATTTGCAATGGAATTTTACACAGGACCCTATGGTCTTAGAAGGACACTTAATGATTTTCAGGTCAACGGTCAAGGTCATAATTTGTGTCTGTTTTCATTTTTCGTCTCCTTGCATTTTCTCAGGAATTAAGCCTTTGAGCGTTCGCAATAAAATTTTATACCAGAACTCTCTATGGCCGAAGGAAACCACTATTAGTTGTAGGGTAAAAAGTTAAAATTTGTAAAGTCATACATTACATGTATTTGTGTGCGCGAAACTTCCATTTCGAGGTGATATCTGAACAATCATTTTTCCTTAATTTTTGACGAATGAAATTTAAACGGTTTAAATCTTTTTGATATATCTGTGCTTATGCAATCAATCTAAAGATGTGTATTCTAGCTTATCGATTTTTTTTTTTGAATTTGCATTATTAATAACAAAGTATAAAATATTGAAAAATCTATATAAATTATTTAATTTAAGAAGAAAGTCAAAAGCTATCTCATTTATACAAAAAAGAAAATTAAAATTGATTTCTTTGATATATTTTATTCATTTCATAACAATAGGCGTCTAATGTATGTTAAGGTTATAATCATGCCTTTTTCGCGTGGACTTTTAAAATATAATTATTTAGAATATATATTTATCTCAATGTGACATCAGAATTAATTAATATTCTTCGAAATTGGGACTCGGGAAAATTACCAGTATCTCTCTTTACAAAACGGTGTCTTTTGATTTCTGTGCGGAAAATAAGAATCCATACTTTGCAGTACAATTCATACTTTGAAAGAAAAATAACTACAATCTTCCTCAAAAATATGTGATTTAGTTTTCGAATTCAATACGGTTTTGTAAGCATTGTAAAAATCTAAATTTTTTGTAAGAATATTAAGCAGAACATAAAAAGGATCCCACATGGCGCAGTGGAAAGAGCATATCCTGTAGAAACGCAAAGTAAGGAGTTGAATTTTACGTCGCGGGTTCGAAACAAATTGTTGGACACGTACACGCAAGACCGGTCCTTTAGAACTGAGGTCCAGTGTCACAGAAGGTGTCTAATTTGTTTTTCACTTTTAACATTACACATAACGTTCTAATTAATCAATCAGAAAATTTGTAAACCAGGTTCTGCCGGCAGTTGGCGATGTCTCTACATAATTGAGTGAAAAAATGTCGACAGGGAAGTTAAACAACTAGCAAACAAAGATATAGAATTTAGGAAAAAAAATTATTGAAAACTCTTGATCATACCACTTTCTAACAATTAATGTACCTGGTGATTTAAGTAACGATATTGCTTCCTCTGTACGATTCCTCTCTGCCAAAAAATCTATTCTATCTTGTAAGTCTGGAATTTGTTGAAGGAATGACATCATTTTATCAACATCCCCTTGCAAGTGGAACTGATTGGCTGCCATCTGACTTAATTGAATTACTGTTTGAAAAGGCGTTGGTGAATTTTTAAGAAGCCTGTCCGGAAACGGCTCGTTTTCCCTTTCGTAAGTCTTATATATGAAAATAATACAGTTGAAAAAAATTTAATTTAGATCAATAATTTAAATCCTCAAATTGATTCAAAACTTTTAATTAAAGTGTTTTCTTTCTACCTGTTTTAGGTACACATATCTATGAAGGCATTCAATTGCAACTTCGAATTGCTTTTTAGCGCAAAGGAGGTGTATTGCTTGTCTATATTTTCCGATTTCTTCAAGGCATTCGCTGGCTTTTATTGGATCTCCCTTTATTTCATAAGTATCAGCTGCTTTTTCGAGCTTAAAAAGAATTTTTGTACATGTATGTAAAACATTTTCACAAAAGTCATACTTCAAAATCGTAATGAAAAAATGTAGTTTCTCTTGAAAGCGAATTTAAAGTTATTGTGCATGTTTTAATGTTGGTGGTTTTTTCCCTTAAAATGACTATGAATTCATGCTAATACTGTTCTTCTGCCATTTATTCGTCTATTTTGAAATCTTACCTTTGGTTCTTTTTGTAGCCTACTTATCATCTCTGAATACGCAAATATACAACTATAATTGTAATAATTTTATTTTGACAAATGTTGTAAAAAAAGAAAAATACTTGATTTGTATTCTCGTAAAGAGAGGCAAGTAAGGAATATTCCTGTGCCAATTCAAGACATCTCGCTGCTTTAGACGGCATTTCACACTTCAGAAAGTCGTATGCTGCAGAAAGAAACATTTCCTTCCTTTCTTTATCTCTTGATGCTTTGCCTCGCAAGCTGGAAGAGATAATGAATATTAAAATGTTATTCCTAATTTAAGCCAAAATTTAGATCAACTCAGTTTGAGAAATTAAAAGAAAAGACGTATTGATTGAATATTGTTTAACACCGAGTCGGCAATTTTTCAGCCAAATGAAAAGAAGAGTCAGCTTTAAATTGAAATTTCAATATCAATGTAGATATTATAAGCATGTTTGCATAATCTGATTTGTAATGATTGATCACCTTTTAAATTTGTATTGAATTAATTTTTAAAAGCTTGATCCTAACTCTGATGTTTTCGGTCCGTGTTTGTTCCTATTTTGTATTGGTTTATGGACTTTTGATCTCGTTCATTATCTTAATATGCTTCGTGCAAATGCTATTTGCTTTATCTTATAATCACAAAAAAATCAAATCTGCAATATGCAAAGTAAAAAAAAAAATATAGAAAGTTTTTTTAAAAAAGCAAAACAAATAATTAAATGATTAAAATGGTCAAAACGTTTTAAAACACTGCAGTTGTATATGAAATAGTGGTGAGGACTTTCATGGATATGTTTCAAAGTTACCGTAAGGTTCTAAAACTCGCATACCCGCCTTTCTTCTCTTTAGGGGATATATAGTTTTTGCCATTACCCATAACTTTTGATTGATTGAGGCTACATGGATATCATATTCCACATATGTATTTCTTGTGACACGTCTTTTCTTTGGATACCATCAAATTCGCCCTTTTAACCTTGGCCTTGGAGTCTGACAAATTTTGCAAAATTTTACCAAACTTAAACATTCATTCATCATATCTATTGAGCAGTTCGCGCAAGGTAGGGCTTTCATTCTTCATGTCTGTAATGTTTGTAACAATTGTTTCCACTGGATATGAACAATTTGTACCTTTTGACTTAATTTTAAAATACTTTAACCTTGGCTATTACTTCTGAACGGTTAAGGCCAGGGCTTTCATACTTCACATATATAACCTTTGTGACAAGGTCTTCCCTGTGATACAAAAAACTTTGACCCATTGAGCTTGAAGGTTGACCTACTTTTAAAACAAATAACCTTGACCAAAACTTTTGAATAGCTGGCGCTAGGGCTTTCATCTTTGACAAATGTATTTTTTTTTGGTGAAGATCTTACTATGAGTACCAACCCATCTGGTTTGCATCATGGAAACTTTCACCTTTGGTAAGTTGCCATAGAGAGACATCAGCGTTTCACAAACACATCTTATTTAATTTGTTTTATTTTAAAAACTTGCAAAAAAGTAAAAAATAAAAAAAAAATAAATAAATGTTGCAGTATGTAATCATTTACTTCATTGCTTCCTGTGCCTTTTGATGGGATTTAGCAATTTTAGCCATTTTCAAATCATTTCCTCGACTGAAACAGATTGCTGCAGTCTTGTACACCCTTTGTTCCATTAACTCCATCCCACGTTCAAACCAATCTTCAGGAGTTGAATCTTCAGCATGCATTAAAATACCTAGGAAGAAAGTAGTAATAACAAGAAACAGACTTTTTTGTAAGTTTCAAATGATTGTCTCTTTCTAAGTCAGTATTTTTTTCAGCAAGTATACAGTGCAGACCATAGCTATAGATCATTCTGATGTGACACAACGCTTTTTATATACTGTAAAACGAAAAAAAATTGGCTCATACGTATTTTAGCGCAAACGCATGTGGGTATACATTGGCGCAAATAAATTTTAGCGCTTGCACCACTTGTCATTAAAATATAGAATTGTGATTCTATTTCTTTTATCCAGGACTGTATTTGACCTTTTGGTTAGCCAAGCACGGAAACATAATAGCACCCCCGTATATAGGTTAACATTTGTCAACTTTACCGCGGTGTTGCAATCACATGGAGTCAATGCACACTGTTAAATTTCAATTTGATTTTTTTTAAATAAATTAAAGAAAAGGAGTATTTTTGCAATTCATTCATATGAAAACAATGCATGCATCGGAAAGAATTTTAAGGTTCCTAAAAATACTTTATCTATATTGATATTTTATTTCTTTCTCAAATGCTGGATTATCGCTCTTGCGATATACTCCAGCTTAATTTCAATAGCATCTCCTTACATTGTAAGTTATGTGAATGCCGCAAGATAGAACCAAAAGAATCGTTTTGCGGGAAACTGAAGGTAATCTCTTTAGAGATAGCGTTGGTCGCCACTTTCCTTCAGGATACCGGAGAATTAACTCACTGGAAATTCTTCGATTTGTATTCGATTTTCAGCGGTAAGGTCATTTTAACTTTGTGTTTATTCATGGATTCTAACAAAATACTTAATTTGGGTCACTCAATTGTTCGTCGCTTCCATCAATTCTTTTAAAGCGAAGCTGATGATAGATACGTATACAATGACGACCTCGGCCTCCAAGCGACACACAAAATATTTTAGAGGTGTTGGAGGCCGCACGATATCAGGCATTCTCCGTGAGGATGCGAAATTCATTGAACGGGTAAAACCGGATTAAGTTATCCTTCTGGTTGGAAATATTGACGTCCGAGGCGTCAGTTCCCCCCAAAGAAATAGCAAGGAATTTAACGTCCACCTGATTACAAACAGGGTAATGTACATCTACATCGGAGCTTGCGTGGTCTTATTTTATCCAGAATGAAATGAATATGTTGATAATTAGAATTCCAATCGTTTCATAATCAGTTTGTTCAAAAGTTTGAAAATATATAAAAAATAAAATAAAATAAAACAATGATAATGATATTAGAATTCTCGATATTTACCTTAAAATAAAGGTTTTCAAAAAAAATAAATAAATAGATAAATAAATTTAAGCCTCCGAGATGAAATCACACTTTTACTTTTCACACAGATTTACTTTTAATTCTCTGAGAAGATTTTAAGGACAGAGGATACAAACAATTTTTTTTTCTTTGAAATGGAATTAATATCATGTCAGAAGTTTATAAAAGTGGATAATTCTTAGCATTTTTTCTCCCAAGAAGTGAAAAATGAAATAAACTTGGAAATTATTACTAATATTTCAATTAAAAAATATAGACAAATAATACTCAGTAAAGGTTTACAAGTGAAAATAAATTTCAGAATATGTAACATATGCTTCTAGAATCAACACAATTAAATCGTCAATTATTCTTGACGCCTTTTCAAGGCTCATTTCATATATTGCTCTGATTTAACTAAAACCATTTGGTATATGTTTTTCCGTGATGTATTTTTATTTTACGCTTCCCTAAGGGTCATCTCGTTGCACGGGATTAACACAATTTAGTTGTGTTTTTTCGAGACGTATTTTTATTTTACGCCTCCCTGAGGCTCATCTCAATACATGGGAATTAATACAATTTACTTGTGTTTTTCCAAGGTGTATTTTTTACGCCTCCCTGAGGCTCATCTCATTGCACGTGAACTAACACAATTTATTCCCGAGATGTATACATATTTTATTTTGAGTCCGTCGGATGGGACGTAAAATGATGCCAGTGTCAAAGATAACAACCCCCTTGACATGTAATTGATCGTTTCTCTGGTTTTTGAAAAAGAGTGGGCTCATTGAGGGCCGCCAGAGAAACCCCAAAATTTCAAAAAGATCATACATGTACTGAATTATTGCCGACTCGGCGTAAAACAATAATAATCAATCAATCATATTCAATTTTATGCCTCCTTAAAGCTCATCTCATTGCTCGGAATTAATTACACCGTAGCACCCTTCTCTTGTTTTATTACGAGATACTTTATTTTACGCCTCCCCGAGGCTTATTTAATTGCAACAGAATTGACACACAACGTAAGTTACTTGGGCTTTTCTCAGAAATTTTAATTTATTTTGATTTTGTATGCCTTTCAGGGGCTTATCCTATTGTACTTACATTAATGCAACTTATATAGGATCATAAAGAATAAAAATACTGAAATAAAATAAAAGGAATGAAAATATGAATAGAAATAATACTAATATTTAAAAAAATTATTAAGGATAAATACTTAATAAATAAATAAATAGACAAACAAAATTTATAACCTTTGTACACTGTTCTCGCAGGATCATTCATTGTCGCTTAATTGTGGGATAATATATTAGTTACAGATCAACATTCCGGAATTTTAAGGCCTGCTAATTCCATTTGCCGGTTTATACATGTAGTAACCGGATGTTTACATACTAACCCTTCTATTTATAGTGGTCAAGAGAAGGGGACTATATACACTAACCAAAGGCAGTTTATTTGTATTTAAGTAACCTATCCATCAATTATAATCATGCCACCTAAGAGAAAATCAACCAAAGCTAGAGCAGTACCAAACCCTGTCTCCAAACTCAAGTCCGAAATTTGGTCAAACCAGTACGTTGACTTCATAAAACTGCTGTCTAAGGACAAACAAAAGAAGGGTAAGTTTTCTCTACAAGTTGAAGATGGTGACAGTCCCGGTAAATTGAAAATCCACAAGGTGGACACCGATTCATTATAAGACACATCTGTCTCTTCCATGCACGACTGGCTTACAGCATGGAACAGATTTTCAGCAATTTTTTGCATGAAATTACCTGATCAACATGCCAAATTGGCAAAGCATTTAGAGGCCGTCAGGGAAATAGCAGATGCAAAAGGTAATGAAAAGATTATAATAGGGACTTTAGAACACTTGTCGCTCAGAGACAAGTTGCCTGGGGGATGTTCACGTGGAGTTGTATGTGAACGCCAGACTGACAACAAACCAGACAACAAAACTAAGTAAAGGTAATAAGGTCGTACAGTACAGATTAATTCCCAAAGATGACTGCTTCCAATATCATTCAGATAAACACTGTCAAACAGGAATGTCCTGTCGTTTTCAAAATAGATGCTATAACTGTTCCAGGGCTCACCATTTGTTCACTGCACAAACCAACTAAGCACCCCTTTCGTGTCTTGCAAAAATACCAAAACCAAACAAGCAATAAAAATAAACGATCTACCCAAACAAAAAAATCATCTTCCATACAAAGGGTCCTACTCCAATCAAGGCAAATGGACTTGCTCACTGGTTATCTGGAAATGATGAATACGAAACTAGATATTTAATTGATGGTTTTCCAAATGGGTTTTATTTAGGATTCGAAGGAGAATGTCTGGGGATAGAGTCTAAGAATTTGAATTCTGCACTAGCAAAACCCAAAATCATTGATCAAAAAATACAAAAAGAAATTGTGGCAATTAGGGTCAAGGGCTCCTTTGAAAGTAAGACTATCCCTAATTTACAATGTAAATCATCCGGTTTAGTTAAAAAAAAAGATCAAGGGGAATATAGAATTATTCATCACCTATCATATCCAGATAACCATTCAATTAATGATGGCATACCACCTGATGAGTCATTTGTTCAATACTTATCTATTTTAGATGCTTTTCAATTTATAAAACAATGTGGAGAAGGTGCATTCTGCTGTAAAACAGATATTAAGTAAGCATTTCGAATAATTGAACTACATCATACACAGGTTAAAGAAACACGCACGCTAATTCTCGATTCCCGCCTACATTTTGGAACCATTTAATTCAATATTAATAGCAATTTGGCCATAAAATCTTTGTTGAATACAAAGAACAGTTCAATGGAAATTGATAAATCGTCTTAATACCAGCGCTAAACAGTAACTTATCCATAATTCCAGGTGTTGAAAAAATGGGGGGTAGACGGTATTTTCCATTGAAATTGTAGTTTCAAGCATCACCGTATTTTGAAATAGTATTGGATATGATTAAATGTTCCTTATATCTTTTCTTATGTTTTAGGCAAGGAAGGATATGGAGATAACGAACAGTATTCAATCTCAACGTCCATTAAACAATATACAAAATAAGAGCAGAGCAAACACGGACCTCTGAAATATCAGAGGTGGAATCAGGTGCCATGGAGGAGTGAGCATCCCCTGCCGACCGGTCACACCCGCCGTGTGCTCGTTGTCATGATCAGGAAATAACAGAAAAAAGCCGTCGTCAATTCAGTGTATAAATAATGGACTAACAATTGGTATGAAAAACGTCAGTCAGCATATGACTCAATGATAAATTGTATTTACTGACAAGGTCATTGTATCGACCATAGAATTTACGAAAAGATGACTTTAAACGAGACTGTTGATATTCTTGTTTCATCAACTTGCTTGTCAATAATTTACCTCGTTTAAGAAATTGTTCATACGTAGAGCACGCTCTTGCGTATCGAATCAACTGAGATATATATACTCCGTATGCAGGTGATGAAGGTATATTGCTGCATAAGTAAGGGAAGTTGACGATAGAAAACTTAGTCATCACGTTTATCATATAGCTTGGTTGTTAGATTACCATTAGTGTCTTTTTCAAGTAAAATATCCAAGTATGAAGCAGAAGTGTCGGACTCTGTGGTATCTTTTATCTCAAGCTCACCAGGATATATCGTATCGACGTAGGAATGAAAATTATCATTATTAATTGAAAATACGTCGTCGATATATCTAAATGTCGAGTTGAAGGCCACAGCAAGTGTTTTCTTCTTTTCACGCATAAGATTTTGTATAAATTCTGCTTCATATGAATATAAAAATAAGTCTGCTAATAACGGAGCACAATTTGTACCCATGGGAATTCCAATAGATTGTTGGAATACCCGGTCTCCGAAAACCACATAGATATTGTCAATCAGAAACTCAAGCATCTTCTTGATGTCAACTTCAGAGTACTTATGTGTGCAATCAGAATCTGTTTTAACAAAATAATTTTTCAAATGACCAATGACGAGGTAAGTAAATTTACGAGTTCCATTTTTGTTGAAGAAGCAGCTGTCAATGATATCAAAAAATATTTGTCGTGGGGAATCGTTGTGTATAAAGTTGAAAAGTCGTAAGTTTTTAAGCTGTTGATTTTTGTAAAATCTTGTGATTTCAAATTGTCCAAAAGTTCTTTAGAATTTTTAAGTATCCACATCTGATTTACACCACTTCTTGAGTATATAGTTGCACAGCACTTTTGAAGTTTTTCCTTCACTACTGTCAATATTTTAGTGAGAAGTAACGAAAGAGGCTTTGTTGAACATTTACTGGAACCTGCAATGTATCTTTGTTTGTAAGGATTCTTATGAAGTTTCGGAATCCAATATATATAAGATAGTTCAAATTCATTTTGGCTCTGTGGAATATTAAAAGTATTCAAAACTGACAGGTGATTTTGAAGAATTTCTTCCTTAGAAAGAGAAGTATGAGTATAAGTAGGATTACCACTTGTAGAATTAAATCCAAGTTCTTCTAGAATGCAATTTATATAATGAGCCTTACAAACGAAGACAATGGTGTTACCTGCTTTGTCGGCAGGAACCAGTACGTACTGATCGTGTAATCTATCCAATTCTTTTTTCACTTCTGGTTTATTGAACACAGAAGGATAGATGGTTTTCATTTTGCCCCTCAATCTTTTGATACGTGACTTTAACATGGATCTGATACATTTAATCCATTCTGACAAGGTGTCAATGTCTTCTTTTTCATATTTGGCCCATCGTCTGGCGTAATTTTCAACAGAATCCATAATATTTATGAAATTCCGACGCCAGTTGAAGGATCGGGGTTCCCTATATTTAGGACCTTTTAAAATAAGTGATCTAAGGTCCTCATTACGAACTATATTAACGTCATCTGTAATAACGTGTCCAGCAGTACTATAGTTATAGGGCGAAGAAGAACATGAACACGAAGGGGGATTATTTTTCAGATGGTCGATATCCAGGCCATGTAAAGTGTTTTTGTAATTGAAAAGTTTGGAAGCAATGGTCGATGTATATTTGTAGGAAATACATGGTGTAGTCTTTAACTTGAAATATGGTGGAATACAAGACTGGACCCTTTTGTGATTAAGAATATTACTTATATTAACCGCGTCAATTCCTTTAGTGGCATATTGAAGTTTAAGGAAAAGAGGGATTGTTTTAGCTGCATTTTCGTCCGTGAAACGTGCGGGTTTAAAAAGCCTATGATATGCAATATCCATAATCACAGATCCGAGCAAATAAATAAAACATATTAAATATTTCAACTAAATATAATGTTTCAGTTGTATATATCGTTTTGAAATTGGTGGAAAATAAGCATTTTTATCGTTTTTTATCAATAAACATATGTTACACCCCGTGTCACACAAAAAGCTTTGGTATGAATTTGAAAAATAACATTCCATATTACTTGTAAAAAGGAATTTTTCTGACATGGGGGGGGGGAGATGTTTTAAAAATATTTTCCGTTTTCCGTTGATTTCTATAGTGAAAAACACACGTTTTACCAAAATTTAAGAGTTGTTTCTCTTTGTTTTCCCAAATAAGTAATGTTCTATGAAAATCCATATAATTAGCTATACAAAAAAATATAAAAAAAAATTCATCGAATATGTTAACTTTTGAAAATTGACTTGGAGGTAGGCGGGAGAACAATACTATCGTTCGCAGTTCAAATTTCTTGGGTTTAAATGGGAAAACAAATACTATGTTGATACCTGCCTGCAGTTTAATTTAAGGTCTTCTTGTAAAATATTTGAACGACTCTCAACAGCTTTGCAATGAATTGCGCAAAGTAAACTTGGGATATCTTGCATTTCACATGTTTTAGATGACTTTATATTATTGTATACGAATCACCAACCCAATGTGTTTACAAGCTCAAAAGTTTTCTAGCTATGTGTACAGATATTGGTGTGACTATTTCACTTGAAAAAAAAAAAAAACAAGTGATAACATATCTAGAAGGATATGGGTTAGGAATTAGATTCAACTAAAATGGAATGTAAAATTCCAGAAGACAAAATTTTCAAGTGTGTTTCATAAAATTCAGTTTGCTTTGGAACAGACTTAGTTAACATTAAAAGAGCTGCAGTCAATTATAGGCTTATTGAATTTTGCTTGTAATTTAGTGTTGCCAGGTAGAGCCTTTTTAAGAAGACTTATAGATTTGACCATTGGAATCAAAAAGCAATTTTACAGAATTCGTATGACATGGGAAGTTAATGAGGATCTGAATGTTTGGTTAGATTTTCTTTCCAACTTCAATGGTCCTTCAATGTTTCTTCTTGATAGATGGATAAGTTCAAGTGAATTAAATTTATATACGGAGGCGTCAGTAGTTGTTGAATATGCTGCAGTTTTTGGTAGTCAGTGTTTGAAAGGAGAATGGAATAGTAGTTGGCAGTACCGAAACGTAGCAGTCTTAGAAATGTACCCCATAGTCCTAGCAGTACAATTCTGGTCTAAATTTATGAGTAACAAATGCATCATGTTTAACACCGACAACCAAGCACTGGTTCATGTCATTAATAAGCAAACATTTAAATATAAGCATATCATGTTTCTTTTGAGAAAACTAGTATTGACATGCTTATAATATAACATTTATTTCAAAGCAAAGCATTTGACTTCAAAAGAAAATAATTGTAATAATAATAAGAAGAAACAGAGTAAAAACAATATGTTCCCCAACTTCGTATGGGGAACATACATGTAATAACTCTTCGGGTACTGTACATATACAAGATACATGTACACAGAATTGAATAAATAGGGAATATAAGATTTAAATACCTGTTTCTTTACTCTCTGTTGTATTTTTCGCCATATTCCGAGCTCTGAAATACTCAAACATTGGAGCTCGTTTTTCCTTGTCTGCGTCAAATATCCAGACATGATCTCTCGCTCTTGTGACAGCAGTATACAAGTGTTTTAATTCTGTATTCAGCACCTTATGCTTAATTGGATTAAACTGCAAAGGTCTAGACTGTGTTTGCTTTTCTTTGAAGGCTTTAATATAGAAATAATAGAATGTATTTAATTTAATTAATAAGTAGAAATCAATCAGGTTATATAAAAGGACGATATATTGGTAAACAATGCAAGACTTATTCTCGATATATTTGAATACTGTGAAAACACAGATACGGATGGTGTACTTTTATATGCCAATTTTCAAAAAGCATTTGATTCAATCGAATGGATTTTTTTTATTCAAAACATTAGAAAAATTCAATTTTGGTGAAAATTTTATCAAATGGATAAAAATTTTATATACAAATCCGCAATTCACTATAAAAAACCATGGCTGGATTTCGAGAAAGTGCAAAATGAAAAGAGGAATACGGCAAGGTTGTCCGGTTTCAGCGTTACTATTTTTATTTGCAATGAAAGTTTTAAATGAAAGCATAAACAGTTCAAGTTTAGTTAGAGGTTTCAAGCATGAAAGATGGAAGATGAAATAAAATGCATACAGCATGCAGATGATAGTACCTTTCCCTTAAAGGATATAAACTTCTTGAAAAATGCCATAAAAATAATAGAAAAATTTGGAAATGTATCAGGAACAAACTTAACTGATCAAAAACGGAATGTATCTTACTGGGGGAGCTTAAAAACATGTTTTTAGATAACACATATGCAGGAAATGTTAAGATCAATATAAATACTGTAAGATGTCTCGGAATTTATATTGGACACAACAAAATAGAGTGCAATGAAAAAAACTGGCTATGTAAGCTGAAAGAGTTTGAAAAAAATTTAGACTCTTGGAGAAATAGGAAATTAACTATTTTCGGTAAGAGTCAGATTATTAACTCCCTAATTTTTTCTAAACTTTTATATGTGGCAACTATACTTGAAAATCCAGATCAAGAAATTATATATATAAAAAAAGGTAAATAAAATAATTTTCTCTTTTCTCTGGGGTAAAAAAGAAATAATTAAGCGCAAAACTCTTATTAGGAAAATATCAGAAGGGGGGATAGGTATTACCGACTTTGAAACCAAAAGTTAAAGTTTTTAAAGCATCAAGGGTCACCAAACTTGTTCAACAAAACAAGGACTCAAACAAATTGTTAAGTGCTTGTTTAGGAAGATGTAATATAGATAAACCTTACTTGTTGAATACAAATATAACTAAACTACGTACAAGACTTCAAAATCAAATATATCCCACTGTTTTATAAAAAAGTAATATGTGCATTCAACAGGTCGGAGAGAATACTCGAAATCGGGTATTATCCGTGAAATCGCGCATAATACCCGATATAAGGGTATTGTTGAATCCACAAAATCGGGTATAGGACGTGTTATCACTTAATAAAACTTAAACAATGGGATGGCGCATGTTTCCGAGTTAACTTTTATTTAGATACACAGGTTTTCTAAAGGTATCACTAGTCAAGTAAGAATTTGGGCGTCAAGATTAATGCGCTCAGGATAACAAATACCCGTGGAGCTCAGTACATTTCATGATCTGCACACAAAAAGGCGTTCGATTTGCTTTATATTTTGCCTTACGTTGAAAGTATATGCATCTTCTTAATGTTCATTCCCAACACAACAGAATTGTAAAGTATCAGAATTCGGGAATTTATAATAATTCCACATCAACACAACAAACATGAACAATTTGTAAATAAATCAAATTATACGGAAACACATTTCACACAAAAGATATGATGCCATGTATAAACAAGGGATTATCCATCGTATCTAATTATGCGTCATTAATTACTTTCACATTCATCTTGTGCATGAAATCAAATTTATTTTTGAAGGTATAAATAATGTAATGATAAAAATGTCTAAAATTTCGGCTAAAAAAACCCTCTTTCTCTTTCTTTGAAAATCTTTTTTTTTTTCATTATTCATACATATTTGCAGAATATGTCTCCAA